GAGAAGAATTCTAAGAAGAAAGTAAACCTACAGACATCGGTCTTGTTTAACAAAATCTGCCTACAAGAAAATCTGTCACCAAAGTACACCAATTTGATACTAACAAACGAGATGACATGGTCTTTGACCCATGATGATAGGGTTAATAAAAAATCATTAAGACAATATTTTGATTACTTGGATAGTTGGAGCAATTGAAAAAAGCAGTAATCAGAAACACTAATTTTGATAGGCTCACTATTTTCATAACACTGATAATAGTCAAGTGATTATATTAATTAATTGCCCAGCTCTATCTATGATTCAAAGACAGTCAGAGCTTTAACAAAAGAGCATGTGTGTATAACAAAGTTCAACATAGCTTGAACCAGAACTAGTGTAACAGTACTATTATTGGTTTACGCGCATAAAAATGGCATCATTTTAAGCTGAGAAACTTTAAGTACAATATGTAACCACATCAAATAAATATTCTCACACTTTTGTTACATATGAAATACAATTTATAAACTCCAGAAATCAGTTATTAGTCAGAGCATCAGAGAATCAGCCTACAGTAAACAGTAGCAGCCAGTCAGTTGTAGTACTCAGCAATCTTCAACATCACTAACCTTCGCTGACAACTGTCTTTAATAAAAGATCTTATTAATGGTTCAAACTTCTGATTTTCACATCATAAGAATCATGTTTACCTTCTGAGTTGCTTTTAAAGCTTTCTGCACCTTTTCTGCCATTTGAACATGTTCTTCAGGTCTACATCTATATGCCCAAAAAATAAATAAACAAACATTAACCAATTAAGATTTGCTTGCTTATTATTATTAAATAAATATTTCTGTTTTCGAAACATAAAACTTTATAAAAAACTGTATACTGTCATCCTTATCATATACAGAAAAATATTAAGTTTGCTTAGTCTGTTATAAATAATTTATTATAAACTCCAGAGCCATGTGCTTGTGAGGTTGTGGCTATGGTCATCAGAAAACATTACTGCCTGTCACCAATTGACTTCATGAGGTGGTAGCTAACTCTAACTATGCATGAAGATATTTTAAGAATGTTGACTGCAACAAGCCCACAGGTCTCTACGACAACCAACACAGACACACAAAGAAAATGCCAAGCAACATATTGCAGCCTGGAACACCAATGTGAACAACTGGAAGATCCTAACATCTTATAAGACTGCCTGGAAATTGCTGTGAAGAAAGGTGCAAAATTCTTTGAAAGTAAATAATGTCAAAAACAGGAGGAAAAAAGAAATAGACAGAAGCACCAAATTACTGTTAACGGAGCAAATACATGCCCCATGTGCAAGCACTTGCATATTCAGGTTGAGACTTTTCAGTCCATGCCAAAAGAAAGTAGCTGATTTGTCATCTTCAAAAACAAAGGACAACCAACAATATAGCTGATGACTAAGTGACCTCTACTTAGAAATCTGAAACTTCTGTATCACCCTTAAGAAAATCCATGTATTTTGCTTTATAATAAAATCCATACTTACATTCTTTTCAAATTAAATGGTTAAGCATATCTTTAATATGATACTGCTCGTGTCTTTGAAGGTCGTTATTTATCTAACCCACTCAAGGCATGCTATGACCATACACATACAAAAAAAAAGAAGAAACTGCCGTATAAAATATTGAAGACTAGCTTGAAAATGATACTCACTTGAGTACAGTTGTTAGAGCCTTTTCTCTATCCACAGCCTTGCTTATGTATTTCAACACCCTTTCACCAACCAGAAAATAAAGGTTTGTTTTATTTCTTTTTCCTTTCTCCACATAAAGTAATTTGATAACCTAAAGAATAGTAATTTTTTTTTAATCTAATCAATATAAGATGTTAAATGACAAAACTGATTGTTCAAATTCCATAAAAACTTTCTAAAAATTAGTTTGAGTAACTGCAGAGAATTTCAAAAATTATGGTCTTTGGATTTTATAAATCACATTTGAGAGTAACGACTTAACTCAATAAAGCACTGTTTTGGTTTCTTTCATTAAAGTAAGGCACAAGTTGTATGAAACTTGAGTTGTTTATGTTATACATTCTCTGGCCATTGTCATAAATTTTTGCAAAAAGACAGATACAAACTCACGCATTCGTTACGATACTATCAAAAAATATAATACTTTAATTATTCAGTAGATATATTTGGTGGAAAACAAAGTCTGATAATGAATAGTAGAGTCCTGGCAACAATTGTAACATTTTCAATGAACGTTTTGAATTACACATTTTCCATCTTCAGCAAATTGAACAATCATTACTATAATTACTAATATAAAACTACAATGAATAGTGTTAGGAAATTATAAAACATTCAGTAAAAGAAGAAAAAAAGAAGCGAGAGGGTTATTTGAATAAAGTGAGGGGGAACGAGTATGAATTTCTATTGAGATTTGGATTTTTGTTCATAGTACATAGACTTTCTTTTATGAACAGTTCATGATCATTACATCCAGAAGTTAGAATTGAAAAATCTTCTAAGGAAATGGGGTGTGATGATATTTTGTTGCTAGAATATATAAGCTTAAGTCCAGTTCTGTTAGAAACTCCAATGTGTTCCACGGCACGTATTTATAAATGGCCTATGTAGGTGGCTTTACAGCTAACACATGTACAACCTTTTAATGTAAGAGTGAGGGTAAAAAGTCTTTAGTTATAAAAAGCTACTGATATGAAGTGACAATTTGAAAAACAATACAGAGTTTAATCTGGGGGTAGAAGGACCTGAGTAGCTTGTTCAGTTGGGTTTTAACAATAAGACTTTGTTTTCCAAGGTAAGAAATAACAAGGGTTAGAGGGAATTTGGAATACATTTGGATTTTATTTGGTGGAGTTTTTTTTTCTATTTAAGAAAGTTACGTGTTAAGTTTTCTAGTAAGGATGAAAGATACCCATTTTTTTTTTCTTAAGGTGTTCTGAAGGAAAGATATTTCATTATGAATAGATATGTAAACCGAGCAGATTGAGTGAAGAAGAGTTAAGTCTTAAGCTTAGTTTGAATGATTTTGGCAGAAATCTTTTAATGCACGTGTACAAACCAGTAAAAGTTTTCTTTCTGTAAATAGAGGTGTTAAATTTATTTGTTGTCTTGATTTTGAAGTTGAATGTCGAGAAAGGAAAGTTTGTTTTGATTTTCAATTTCACAAGTGAATTTTATATTATGGTGTTGAGAATTCCATAATTCCAAGTGTTGAGGAATTTTTTAATGCAATCAAGGTCTGACCCCAAAGGGATGAGAAAGGGTGCTGCCTTGGTGATTGAAATTAGCCACTACTGTAGAATTGTTGGAATGGATCATGACCAGATGATTCCTGGCACGACGAAGAAAATGATCTAAGGCATGACATACAGCCAGAAGCTCCAGGATGTTGACATGATAAGATCTTTTGGCCAGAGATCACCAACTTGAAGCTTATTGCTGATTTATCCACATCTCCCAGCCCTGAAGGGAAGCAACCATGAAGATATGTAGGTCCGTCCATACTTGGGGGGGGAATGAAACACACGCCAAGATATGAGCCTTGTCCAACCACCAATGCAAATCATTACAAGGGAAAAAGGAATGGGAATAAGAGCATCCAATAGATTCAGAGCAATATGCACCTCATACGTACTCGACCCAAGAGGATAAGGGCTTCCAGGTAAACCACATCCCCAAAAGCTATAGAACCATGCGAGCTGTAAATGCATGAAGAACTGAAAGCTCAATCAAATAAAGTCAAAGAGGAGAAGGTGGGGCCCGGCTGAGATGAGTGTTGAAAAAGACACTCAAATTAACAAGATATTGGTAGGTATAAGAAATGAATTTACCAGTTTGATTAACCAATCTACATGATCTGCTTCATGACGTATATCCTGGTCATCCACAAACTCTGAGAAAAAATGCACCTGAACGTGAGAAAAGACTCCCTGGTAAATTAGGGTAGAATAAAAGACTGAATGAGGTGGAACAAATCAATCACAGATTAGCAGTCTCTGGTTTTCTTGGGTACCACAAAGAGCCTGGAGTAAAAACCTGGAGAAGGATGATTGACAGGTTTGATGGCCTACTGGAAGCGAAGGTCTTGTACAACACCTCAGATAGACATTGATTAGTGGTAGGATCCCAAGGCAATGGAAAGGAAACAAGCATCTGAGATAATGTTGGAGGGGAAAGAAAATGGATAACAAGTCCCTTGGATAATACCCAAATAACCCACAGATTTGTGGTGAAAAGTTGCCAAAGAGGAACAAAATTTGTCAATCGAGCCCCCACTGGACTGGAACCCACTGGGTAGTCCCCTGTACTGCTGGTGACATGTCCATTTGCATAATATAAAATGACAAGATGAGGAACCAATGGAGGTAGGAACAGGTAAGGGCTGAGAAACAGTAATAGGGGCATGTCTAGGCTCAGAATGAAAGAAGCAATACACGAATGAAGAAAGAGTAGTTTGTTGTTGCACCGGCTCCACATGGGATTCCACAGTCTTAAGAATATTACTAGAAACATACTGCTGTAGAAAAGGAACCATATGTAAGTCCTGGAAATAAGTAGGCAGTAAACGAACTTGGGACATGGTTGAATCCCTTCCCAGGAGATCCCAACAACAGAGAAACCATGTGTGTAAGGATAGAGCTGAAGAAGACAAACATACCAACACTCAGGATCTCTGTGGATTGCCTCAGAAAGGATGTGGATGGTAGACAAGTACCATATTAGAGTCAATAGGGTGGGAAAATTGGGTATAGGATAAACAAACAGGGTCTGCCCCCAAATGGGAACAATTGATTCTAACTGTTTAGAATAAACATTCAGCCTGATGGAAGCCAAAGTAAACTGATCCGAAGCCCATGAAAGGCGAAACATTCTGGCACCCTCAACCATCTGAGAAACAAGATGCTTAGCATGAACCCTAATATCTGGGGAAGGAGGGAAATCAAATGCTGAGAGGAAGATGTATCATGTAACAAAGAAAGATGGGGATCATACGAAATTGGGGAAGTGGATAAAATAGAACATACCTGAGAAATCATGTCTAAAAAAGCCATATTAGGCCTAGCTGATTCCACAGTAGGGGCATAGGAAGACACAGCAAAATCAGGTGAAGGGCTGTCTAAATCCTGTGGTGAGGTGAGTAGCTATCTGAAACACATTTTCAGGAAAGAAAAATTATACTTTCAGAAAAGCTAGTCACCACTCCACAGAACTGAGAGAGAGAGAGAAAGAGAATCCAACATTTGTAAGATGGTGAGGAGTCTGATGAAGACAAAGAAAAAAAGATAAGCTCCTTTCTCAGAAAGGAAAAACTCGTGGACTATGTCACCCACTTGAGGTTCACTCAATGGGAGACCATAAACATCTTATGCAGGGACTGTTCTTATTCCAAGAGAGGTGGTAGAACAGAAGGTACTGTCAAAAGGATCTACATGGTGCTAAAGTGTTACATAGGTAGGTGTAATGTAAAGGTTGCTTAACTGGCATGTATATCTCATGGGGTCAGCAGAGCATGTATATATAGTCTGGCTAGGGCAGTAAGTCAAGCCATTCAGTATGTGAAAAACACATATTTGAAATACTTAACAGAACAGACAAGTGTGCAATTACATCATCCAGACCCATGTCTCAAGAAGAACTCACAACCATAAAATCTAGAGAAAAGGAAAATGGCCTGGGAAGAGACTGAAGATTATTGACAAACATACAGATAGAGACTGAATCAACCCTGACTCAGAGGATCCACAGCCAGAGCTGCAGAGTCCTGGAGATTTAACCTGAAAAGAAGAAGCTTGGTGGTGAGGGGAGTCACAAAGTAGTAGATGAGAGTACTCCCAAAGTGGGAAGAAATCCACTGAAGCACCAGAGGATGTAAAGGCAGCAAGATAGCTGATTCATATCCAATTTTAAAGCTCCCAGTACATGACAGGCTGACAACTCAAAGTGATGGTCATGGGCCCAAAGGTTGAGAGTCAGAAAATAAAGCTTTGGAGAGTTAGTGCCTCTCTGTTGCCTGACAGTGAAATTGTCTGAATGGATCATAACAAAATGACTAGACAGATGATACTTTAGATGATGGCAAGTTTATTGAGTATCCAATGTCTTAAGGATATTGATATTGAGAGATTGCTCCTTTGGAGACTAGACCTGATAAAAGATGCAGAGAGGCATCTGTGAACAGACAAGTCTGAACAAAGTGGAGCAAAAGGGATACCCAGGATCATGTCGAACCAACTGAGTCACCACAACAGAAAGAAGTGAAAAGATGGAGGAAGAGGTAGAAGAGAAGACAGTGGATTACTGGAATTACTCCAGTGATTAACCAGAGCCCATTGAAGAGGATGTGTATAGGTACTTCCTAGAGGAACAAAGAATTTGTGAGAAATTAATCCCCCAAAAAGACAGAAAAACTTTCATGCAAAAAGAGGAGAAATAAAAAACCTTTCATAACCAGAAGCTTCATGTCTTGAAGATTTGAAGGAGAAGGATAAGCCTTCTCTGCAAATGAGTTGGAAATAAACTCCCAAACAAATCAAATACTGAATGAGAGTCAAGATAGACTTGGAGAGCTTTACCAGCCAACTCAAATGAGATGATTCCTGAAGGAAAAATATCACAGCTTAGCCTGCTCAGACAGGGTGAAAAAGAGACAGTCATCTACATAGTAGTGGAAGTGCAGGCCTAACATGAGTATATTACAAAATTTTACTGAGTTACATTCAAAACTTAATTAAACCAATTTACTGTCAATGCATTTTAATGAACTTAGCATTATCATTCAAATATGTTATCATTCAAACTTTTACAGTATCC